GTGTTGGATGGCGTCGATCAGAAGATGGAGTCCGCATCTCCTCCTCATTCACTTCATCTTCCCTTTTTTTTCCCGGGGTCGACGGGGGGCGGGCGAGGGCGCGAGCGGGCGAGGGGCAGCTGCGGCAGCGGCGCAGCAAAGGGAAATGCCACGCCCCCAGTTCGCGGGCTCTTTCTTGCAGGGCAGTCGAACGACACACAACGGTTCCGTCAACGATTCATTGCACGCACCGTAGTGACCAAGAGAGAATCCGCCGCCCCTCCGAACGAGCGCAAGGTTGCGAAGTCCCACGAGCCTCTGGGAGTGACTGGTTTAAGGCATTTCCTCTTCCAGCTTCCCCTCTTACCCCTCGGTGAGGGGTTCACAACTCCCCCAAACCCTTCCCCCCTGGACCTGGACTCGCGACCCATGGAGCTTCCAAGATGGCCCAGGATAGCTCTCAGAGCGCCTCAGGGGGCCCAAGATGACTTCCAAGATGGCTCAAGATAGCCCGCGATAGCTCAACATGGCTCCCAACATGCTCCAAGAGACCCCCATATCGCCCCAAGACTGATCCAAGTGACCACGAAGCCCCTCCCCTCCAGGACGCCCCAGGGTGCCAACATCAAGCACCTACCGAAAATCTATGCGTTGTTTGCCTTCCCGCTCTTTTGCTGTCGATTGCCTTCCGCGGCCCAAGATGATCCCCGGGGGCCCGAGAGAGCGCCAAAAGAGGCCCAAGAGGGCTGCAAGAGCGCCCCGAAGCGCCCGCAAAAGTGGCCCCAGATGCGGGCTATCCATGAGGCAACGATAATTTAGGACCCCCCCTTCCTTCGATCCATCTCTTCCAAGATTGCCCGAACAGGCGCCCAGGAGGCCCGAAGACGCTCCGAAGAGGCCCCCAAGCGACCCCCAAGAGGCCCCGAAAATGCCCCCCAAGAGGCTCCCAAGAGACTTCCACAAGGTTCCCCGAGGCACCCAAGACGCTCCAAGAAACCCCCTGGGCCGCCAAGAGGCCCCCAAGATGTCCCAGAAGGCCCCCGGGAAGCTCCCAAGAGACATCCGAAGACACCCCGAAAGGCATCCAAAAGGCCTCTGGCCTTTTTGCTCGCCCCCCGCTTCCTCGATACTGCCCTGCCGATTATTCCTCCTCCTCCTCCTCCTCCTCCTCCTCCATCCTCCTCCTCCTCTCCTCCTCCTTCCTCCTCCTCCCCTCCTCTCTGGTCGTTCATCCCCACCCCTCTCGTCTCCCCGCTTCCCCGCCCCCCCCCCCCTTCCCTCCCTCATCCCCTCCTCCTCCATCTCGTCATTCTCCGATCCCCTTCCCCCCCTGTTTAGGAGCGTGGCGGTCCTTGGTTCTTCTGCGGCCCCCCTCTTTCCCTAACCAGCAACTCGTCTGGGCATCGTTGCTGGATGAGCTGGTGGCGTCGCGCGAAGCGTTTAGAATTCCCTGCTCGTCGCCCGCGTCGCCCCCGTCCCCATCCCGCTCGGCGCTGTCGCTGTCTTCCCGCTGTCTTTCGCCCCTGGCGTCGCCCTGTCTCCCTGCTCGACCCCCCCCCTTCCGCATCATTCCTTGCCTCGTCCTCGCTGTCATCGCCCCCCGCCCTGCGCCACCGCCCCCCCCCCCCCCCCTCGCCCCGACCCTTTCTCCTCATCCTCGCCCCGAGGCGGAGTCGGGAAGGGAAAAGGGGGGCGGTGCATTTTTTATGAAACTCCGGGCGCCTCGAGCGCCAAAGCGCAGAGGCGGCGCCCCCGCGCGGGGGCGGGAAGCGCGAAAGCAAACCGGGACGCGGGCAATGACTCTCGCGCCCAACCCCGCCCGCCCCCGCCCCCGCAATCGCAGGCGGCACAGGGGGGGAGGGCGCGCATGAAGAGGAAGTGGGGGCGAGGAACATGCGCCAAATGCGGCTGGGCACTGAAAAGGGGGAGGGGGGAGGGCGCCGAACGAAACCGGCGCGCGACCAAACCTGTCATGGGCGACTTCAAGTCGACCCACAAGAGCCTCGGGTGCCGACATAGACTGAACATGTCCACGTGGGCGTTCTGCGACGCCCGCATGCCAGAGCCCCGCGTCCCGCGCGCAAGGCAGAAATCGGCGACCCCTGATTTCACGGGTGATCCCCCCCCTTCCACCCGCCCGCCCCGCCCACCCGCCCGCCCCCCCTGCCCCCCCCCCCGTCCTTCGGACCCATTGAAGCGCCGGAAGCAGCGAACTGATGATTCGAGCCGGGGCGAACCGCACGGCGACCATGAGCATGAGTGTTGTTTGTTTTTGATAGGGGGGGGGGGGGGGGCGGTGGGCGAGGGTCAAGACATGCGGCTCGAGCGAGCAAGCGCCCCCCCATTGCCCCGCGAACCATTTGCATTGGAAAAGGGACGCGGCGCAATGGGCAGTTTACCATATGCACGGGGGGGCGCCGCCTTGACGCGCGCCTTCCACTCGAAACGATCGTTTGCCGCGGCGCGATTGCCCGACGGGGCCCGGCCGCGACGTCGAGCACCCTTCTCGCAATTCCCCCCCAATGCACACGCACGCGCGCACGCGAATGCACGCGCGCGCACACGCCGCCCCACCCCGCCCCGCCCCGCCCCGCCCCTCCCCCCCCCCATCCCCCCGCCCCCGCATCCCACGCACGTCCTCAACCAAACGAACGCGCGATGTCGCGCGTTCCAGGGCGCCGCCAAGGGCCGCAGACTCCCGCCGCGCCCCGCGCGCGCGTTGCACGGCGGGGGTTGCCAATGAATAACAAAGGCCCCCCCCCCCGCGCGAACCCTATCGCCGGCGCCCGTCCTTGACAAAAACATCGCCCCTGTTTCGCGGCCGCTGCGCCTGGGCCGCGACCGCCTGCGCTGGAACGACGAAGCCTGCTCGGATTGCCCGCGGCGCCTGGGCGCCAGTGCCCCGCGCGCGAAGCGGGATTTGGCGACCCCTGTTTGCCGGGGGCGGCATGTGCGGAGGGCGATTTCACGGCCCCCTACCTATTGCGGACTCTTCGGGGCGCCGGGGGTAGCGCGCGAAATAATTGGGCCCGGCGGGGAGGGGGGGGGGCGGAGCGGGGGGCGGGACGAGCATGAGTAGGGAGCTTTCGCGGGGGGCCGGACAGGGCCCGAGGCGGACGGCTCGAGCGAGCGAGCGCGACCCAATGGCCCTGCGCCCCTGTCGCGCTGGAAGCACCAGCTGCGCAACGCAACGGGTGACGGGTCGCGCAGGGCGCTGCCGCTCTGGCGCGCGAGTTCCACTCGAGGCGAACGCATCCTGGGGCGCTCTTGCCAGACTGTGAATGGCTGGGGCGCCCGCCATCATAACCCTCATCACCGCCTTCACACGCCCTCTTCATCCCCCCCCAATCCCTCGCGCCCTCACTTCAAAAGCGGCGGGGGGAGCCCGATGACTCCCGCTGTGCCCCGCGTGCTCTACATGGTGAGGAATGCCAATGATCCAGACAACGGCCGAATGACCCGCCGCGCGACCCCTGGCAGCCATGCCCCCCCTTAACAAAAACCTGCTCCTTTTTGTGGCCGCCGCGCTTGCCGCCGCGAACGCCCGGACCCCTCTGGCTATCCCATCCCAGGTCGATGATCTTGCAACGATCTTCGAAGCGCGAACCTCGGCAGGCTGCTCGCTGGAGCCCTTCTTGGCCATGGGGGGAGACAACTGCGCGCCGCGCAACTGGACAGCGCCAACAACCTTTGGAAGCTTCAGCCGCCTGGGCCCTGGTAAGCAGCCCCCTGAAGAACGACGCCGGTTTCTGCTGGTTGACAACCCCTCCCTGGGAAATGCATCCAAACTGCGCGCTGGATGCGCCAACCTCCGGGAAGCGGCGCAGGCTGTGGGCGTCATCCGCGCCCCACTCCCCGCAATGAAGGAAGGCGCCACAGTCCGGGTCGTCGTCGGCTACCAGCTGCAAGGCGCCATCCTGGAGAACGGATGGCCCCAAAGTTCCCGCAGCATCAGCGGCGCACTCCGTCAGGCGACAAGCAAGGGCAAGGGGAAGGGGAGGGGCGACGGAGGCAAAGGCAAAAGCCTCGGAGCAGGAGACACTCCCCGACTCCCCTGCGGCCCAAGAGACTTCGCCAACGTGTTCGACCAGGTCGACCCATGGCCCGCCGGCAGCTCCCTGGACTTCCCCGGCGTTCGCCAACTCGCTGACGAATACCTAGCGAACGGCAGGCTCGTCCTCTCCACAATCGACCCCAGCCAAGGCCTGTGATGGAAGACGCCTCAGAGAAAGGCTGTCGTAGGAAAAACCATACATTAGCTAAAACTTATACGGGCATTATGTTGTTTTTTCTGAAACATGGAATTAGGTTTTGAAAACGTTTGGGACACCTGAAAATTACAGAGACGATTTTGCCGATCCCACGGGATGCGCGGACCGATGTCATCATTGAAACTGAGCCACCCACCAGCGCGCGAGAAACCCTTTGAAGACACAGGGCCAAGCAACCAAAAATCATGTTCATCAAGCTGCTGTCTCCTGCGTGCTCTCCTGCGCTGTCCTCTGCTCTGCCCCCGCCCCCATGGGGGCAGGAAGGGGAAGGCAGGGGGAAGGGCAGGGGAGAAGAAGAGAGGAAGTCAGCAGGAGCAGAAACAGGAGCAACAGCAACAGCAGAAAGGGGCAGGGAGGTGAGAGGCAGAAAGAGCAGCACAAGGGAAGAGGGAGGAAGGAGACACGACTTCCAGGCGCCCCAGGAGCCAGGCTCTCCGGGCGCAAAGGAGCACGAGGTCTTGCATGCCTCGTGCTCGCGCAGGGGGCGGCGAGCGGCTGTGGGGTCCCCCCCCTTCCTTTGGTGTTCCCCCCCCTCCTCCCTCCCCCCCCCTCCCCGCCCTCCGCCCCCCCCCCTCCCTCCCTCCTCCCCCCCCTCCCCCGTCCTCCGCCCCCCCCCCCCCCCCTCCCCCGTCCTCCGCACCCCCCCCCCCCCCCCTCCCCTCTTCCCCCCCCGCGCCCCCCTCCTTCGCCTCCCCCCCCCCCCCCTCCTCCACGTCACCGCCGTCGCGTGTTCGAGCCTCGAAGCGCCGCCTACCTCGGCAGCTCGCCGTGCCCCCGCGCGTGCTCCGCCACGGAGCCGATGGTGGCGCGGGCCGCCTCCCTGTCCAGCTGGGCCGCCGCCAGTCTCTTGAACTCCGCGTTCACCGCGCGCCTGATGCGCACGGCACTCCTCATCGTCTCCTCGCCCTCCAGGTTGCGCAGCAGCGCGCCCTCGACCTGGCGCGCCGCCGCCGCATCGGAGGTGCACTTGTACACCGCCGAGAGGGCCTCAGGAACGGCCGCGCCGTAGAAGTTGTGATCGTCGCGCAGGTGCTGCACACTTGCTCAGAAAGAATCCACCGCGTGATCGAAACGATCTCCGTCGATCGCGAAAAGCTCGTCGTCGGCCTGGGCCTGCAACTCCGACCACGTTGCAGCGCTGGCCATGCCCCTGCGCCACGGCAGGTCGCCGTCGCCGTTTGGCGTGCCCATCAAGGCCACCAGCTTCTCGTAGCACGACCGCGCCTGGTCGACAGCGTCGCTGTTGTCGTGCTCACGCTGCGCCTTGACCAGGGCACGGGCGTTCTCGACGACCCGCGCCACCCTGTCTTGGAGCTCTCCCGGCACTGGCGCCTGCCCGTCGATGGCATCAGTCGCGAGCACCAAGGCCGTCAACAAGGCGCGGTCGTGGGCAGGCTTGGCGCGGATGGCAGGCGCGCTGCCCGTGGCGAGGAACGCCTTCTGCTCGGCCAGCGCCCTCGATGTCAAGCCCAGGATGCGCGCCGTCGCGCTGAGCCGGTCAACGTTGCAGCACCGCGACTCGACGCTGGCCCACAACCGCTGCGCCGTGAAGCACGCGGCACCGAACGAGTCACCATCATCCACGGCGGCCGGCTGCGCGAGAGACGCCAGAAACAACTCCTGAATCTCGCTGCAGAACTCGTCTGTCGCCCGCGCCTCGGCGGGAAGGAGCTCCTCCTCCTTCTCATCCCCCTCCTCCGTCTCGTTGTCCGCCTGCTCCTCATCCGTCCTCTCCTCGTCCTCCCCCCCTGGGTGTGCCTTCTCCCTTCTCCCCCCCCCCCCCTCATCCTCCTCTTCGCCATCCTCTTTTTAACGCTTTTGTTATCGACCTAAGGGCGCAATGAGAAAACCAGCGCCAATGGGCAACGTGAAGTACGGCCGCCCAGCGATTGCTTCAAGAGCACTGAGACTGCCGCCGCGCAGGCATAAGTGCACACCCAGGGATGACAGCCTAATCATGCCGAGAAACACGCAACAACTCTCGCACCAACGCCAAAAGAAAAAAATGACTCAAACACAGGATTCGTCGGCTCACGGCCGCCCAGGAGAGGAGAGAGTGACCTGCGAGCTGCGAGTTGCGAGGTTGGCGGCCGCGTCTCCGCCGCGGGCGCCCCAGGGCGCGGGCGCGCTATGAAGCGCAACCCGCGGCGTCGCCGGCAACGGGCGCCGTTGCCGCTGCGGTAGACGAGCCAGGCTGCGCCAGGATGGCGCCGCCGAGTGCCCATTCGCAGTGCGCGAAAAAAAACTACGCCTGCCCGTCAGAGGGGGCCGCGACAAGCAGCGCGCTTGCATGCGTGATCATCCTCGGCTGCTTCACCGATGTCCCAGACACTGCATTGCGCCACGGGCGTTTCAACCGCGCCTTGAAAAGTCCGCAACCCCGAGACGGCCCAGAAAATGCAGTGCAAGGAACTGCCTTGCATCGCATATGTGTCAATCGCACCTTGAAACGCCAGCCACCCCGAGACGGCCTAGGAACTGCATTCCATAGAACTGCATTGCATCACTGGCTGTTCAATCGCACCTTGAAAAGCAAGCCACTCCGAGGGGGCCTAGAAACTGCATTGCACAGGAGGATGAGGGCGAGGAGACGAAGTAAGAAGGGGGGATGAGGGATCGGAGGACAAGGATGAGAAGGAGGAGGAGGAGGAGGGAGGGGAGGGGGGAGGAGAGAGGAGGAGGCAGGGGGAAGGAGGGGGGGGAGGAGGAGGAGGGAGAGGGAGGAGGGGGAGGAGGAGGAGGAGGAGGAGGAGAAAAAGGAGGAGGCATTTTCATGAGACACCAACCAACATCCGACAAGCAGAGCCCAAAACGCCAGGAGCCCCGCGCGTTGCCACGCGGAAACGACACAATGGTCCCAAACGGCCCCTGTTAAGGGGGTTGCCGCGAGAAACACCGAACAAACTCGAAACGCAATGTCCGCAACGCGAGCGCGGTGGGTGCACTACCGAGAGACAAGTGGGCAAACACCGCGCCAGGTGAACTTGTGCGATCAGAGAAAGGCGTCAACCACAAGGTTGAAGGAACTACGGGCCCATGACGACCGCTTGGTGGAAGGCCAGGCATACAGCCCATGGCGTAACGGATCATTACCACAAGTACTAGTGGGTGCCAGGCAAGTGCCATTCACGCTGACAGTGGTGTTGTAGGCTACAGGCCCCGAACTGAGAGTGCATGGTTGGTTCGTCCTTCTCCTCCCCCATCCTCGTCCTCCTCCTGCTGCTGATCCTCCTCCTCCATATTCCTCCTCCCTCCTCATCCTTCCGCCTCCTCCTTCCCCCTCATTCCTCCTCCTCCTTCCTCCTGCTCTTCCTCCTCCTACTGCTGCTCAGTCTTCCGCCTCCTCCTTCCTCCTTCTCCTCCTCCTCCTCTGTGTCGCCCCCCCCCCCCCCCCCCCTCCCTCCCCCTTCCCCCCTCGCCCTCGTCGTCGCCATCCCATGCCTTGGCGAAGGCCTGCGGCGCGGGCGCCACCGCCTTCGCCGCCCCCCCCCAGTGGCCGTGGGGCAGCACTGCCTCCGAGCTCTGCAGCTAGAACTGCATCAAGAGCGGCGCCGCCTGCTCGAGAACCGCGCCGTTGTGGGAGGTGCCCCGCAAGCCCTCGGCCGCTGCCTTGAACTCCTCGAGCGCGACCTCGTTCGAAGGGGGGCACGTCTTCGCGGGGCCGATCTGCTGCAGCAGGATCTCTTTTGAGGCCTTCTGCTTCGAAGGGGTGCACATGCCTTCGGCGCGAACCTGCATGTCACCAAAGTTGAACTTGGACAAAAGCCAATTCTCAATGGAGTCGGCGCATGGGCGCCGCACGCTCGCATCGAGATCGCCCTTCCTCTGGCCAAGCCCCTGCAACGTGGCATGGGGGTCAAGCCGCGTGCTGTTCTGACGAACGATCTGCTGCGTCCGAAGGTGGATCGTATCGCCCCACTTCTCGAAGCCAACGATGTCATCCATGAACCGCGTGTAATGTTTGTTGTACCACTCGTTGCCCTTCAGCGCTGCGAAGTCGAGCCCGGGCATGGAGTGTTTCATGCCTCGCTGCTTGGCCGCCTCCCCCAAACGAGAAACATAAGACTTGCCAGCAATCTTGATGTGCTACATGATGCAGCACAACGCTTTGCAGATCGTGCGGCACGTACTGAACATCTCATCCACCTCAGGGCAGATTGAAACATCTGCATCGTCAATCTTATCATCGAACCACTGGATGGCGTACAGCACGAACTTCTCTGCATCTGACTTGTTGGGCTCATCTTCTTCGATAAGCTTCAAGAGGTACCGAGCGATCAGCTTATCGGAGAAAAATCTGGCCTTCTCCTCCTGGCTCATGGCGATGGCGCTGAGCGTCGGCAGCATGGGATCGAAGGTCAGCTCATGAGGGCTCAGCGGGTTCACGATGCAGAAGAACTTATCAACGTCAAATTCAGGCTGACCCACGAGGTCGAGGACCGCGCGCTCGAGGAGGGCCCTCTGGAATCTCTCGGGAAACTCCACACCGCGAAGCTTCGAAAGGCATGCGTCCAACTCCGAGCGGCCGACCGTCGCGATCTGAAGGTTCTTGATCTGCTGAGCTGCCGCGTACTGCTCCTCATGGCCCCCCCGGATCTTCTGTTCGATCGTGGCCCCCATCTTGCGAAGCTTTTCCGTGAGCACGTCCGCCCCGCCCATCGAACGACCAGTGTTGCTCTGCATGCAGTCGGCAATGCTGGTGGTATTCATCTTCGCCTGGACGAGCGCCATGGCCTCAGATGCCACTGGGGAACCTGCCGTCTGCTGCGCACTGCCCGAGCCGGAAGCAGCGCCAATCGGCCCCCTCGGACCTGACCGAACTGAAGCTGCAGCCAACGTAGCTCTAGAACGTCAGCCCCTGCCACCGCCCCTGGAACCTCGCTTCGGAGCTGCGGTTGGAGTTGCTGTCAGAAATGGCTCTGCAGTCCGCGCGCCTCCATCGATCGACTTCTGCCCGTCATCATCACCACTTGGTTCTGCAACATCATCAGCCAGATCGGGGCCCTTCAACGCTGCCTTCTGACGGACGTCGCCCATTGAAGCCGCCTTCTGGTAGGGACTGCAATCCATGAACTCGTCGAGCTTGACCTTCGTGAAGATGGTCTGGGCCTGACTGGGGTGCAACTGGCCGTCGGCCATTTGCTTGTGCTGCTGACGCTGCTTGAACGTAGTCGTGAAGACCTCGTAGAGCACGTCGGGCTCCGACTCGTCCTCCACGCACACACCCTTGAACTTCCCACCCTTCCCGTCGTCGAGGTCCCTGATCACCTTGCCGCACTGCTGAGGCGTTCTGCCGAACACCTCCGTGCACCGCTTGGCCGTGAGACCCTTGGGGCGCCTGAGCGCCCGCACGCCATGGACGCAATCGACGGTCACATCTCCAGCGAAAAAGTTCTTCTCCTCGAGCCCCAACGCCACGCGCAACGCAGCCTCGACCTGCTTGTTAAAATCAGGGTCGGCCCTGAGCTGACCCTTGAACTCGGCCAGCGTCATCCACCCGAAGGCAAGGGCGTGAACGTTGAGATGGTTCTGGCGCATCTCAGCGCTCCCTGCAACAGGCTTAGCACAGGCCCCATTGTCGCCAACACAACTCTGGGCCTCCTTCGCGTTGGCCCTCGACCTCTTCGAAGCCCGGACCTCAGCGCGCTGCTCGCTGGAGCCCTTCTTGGCCATGGGGGGAGACATCTGCGCGCCGCGCAACTGGAAAGCGCCAACAACCTTTGGAAGCTTCAGCCACCAACAAGCTCTGCATACAAGTTGCGTGGATCCCCAAACAGTGAACTTCCCAATATGTCAGTCGGTCCTCCTCCGCCCTCCTCCCCCCTCCATCCTCATCCTCCCCCCATCCCTCCTCGACTCTAGAGGCTTCTTTGATGGCTCTCATGGGGAGAAGAAACGTGGGGGGGGGATCTCCCAGGCAGAAGAATGCCAACTTGAGGCCTGCTTGCCACGCTCATTCTCGGCAAATCGGGCTCTTTCGAAAACCAAGCCAGGGGTGCGGGGCGGGCGTGCTCATGAGAAAGGCCGTGTGTCACACGCGCGCCATTGCAACTGTTGTTGTAATGTTGACATGTTTGCTCGCAGTGACGCGCGCGTGCGATCGTTAAGTACCGCTGCGTTTGTATGTGCATTGCCCTGCGCGCTCATTGATCGCCCCCCATAGCCCGTAATAAATCAACAGCGGTGGGGCCCCTACTCGATCTTATTCGGATGAAGCCGTTGGCAAACCCGCTGACAACCTCAGGCGGCGGGAGGGGAAGGCGGAAGTCTCGCTCAATAATGTTGAGGACACATCTCAAGATGCTCAAGATGTTGGGCAAATGTGCTGGAAGGCAGATGCGTCACATCGGGGTAGCAATGGAAACCAATCATACTCTCAAGAAGTGCGAAAGGAAGCGCCGCCACATTCGAATGTCAATGCCAAGCAATCAAAGACGCGGTTGAAAGAAAGACGTCGCAACATTGATATCGATATGGTTGAACTCGTCACACGGTCAAGCTGATAGCATGAACCTCTCAATCATAAATATATGTGTTGTGACACATGCATGTGCACACGGGCGCGTGAACTACAGACATCAGAGAGACGCCCCACGACTCCTAAGGCTTAAGCCCCAAATCACCCAAAGACGCCAAAAGCCCCTGATAACCCAATAACGCCTCAGGCCCTAGACACCCATGAGTGCCCAAGGCCCCAAGACACACTTTCCCTTTGGACCACCGTGCCTGACGTGAGGTTTGACATCAGAGCACCCCAGAGTGAAACTCTGTATTCGTAATGTACGGACTCATGTGTACATCATTTCCTTTACGCCATTAATCCTCATCGTTACGGCGGTCACGGTCGCACATGTTAGGAGCAGCGAGGCACGCCGACACATGCGTGCCATAAGGCCCCATCAAAGCCTAAATAAACAGAAGTCCACAGAGTGCCTACAGACATCCAATATCCCTAGACACCCAAAGGCGCTCTAACCCCCCAGACGACACAAGAGACCTCATGCCCCAAAGCACCCGCAGACGCCTCAGATACCAGCGACTTCTAATGCAGGCCTCGACCAATACCACTGGAGGCCCCGAGAGCATGCGAAGGCACAAAGGACACGCTCAAAGAGGCAGCAACATGTCCAATGCACCACCGCCGATGCGAACACAGTTCACTCAGCTTGCGATCAGCACCGTTCGAAGCTCGCAGGCGCTCCTCTAAAAGGAACGTCCAAGAGAACACGCTGAAACTGAAAACTCGGCAGTCTTTGCTCCCCGAAACTTCGGAAACCTTGAGGGCCTTCACCCCTGCAAGTTCCAAGGGCGAATCCACATCTTCCCTCCCCATCTTAGTCATCAGGACCGACACAAGAAACGAAACTATATATGAGATGGCATGCTAAACCCTCCCCCAATCGATGTTGCACACGCGAGCTTAAACACTAGAACACTGGAACGGCGCTGCTGGGGCTGAGATCTCAGCCAGGATAGTTGACGGCTCTTTCGGCTGCTGGTGACCAAAAGGGTCGACCTCATCCTCAAACATTTTGGTATCCTCCTGCCGCGGCGGGAGGTCGTCTGGAGCAGCTGGTGGAAGCTGCGGCTGACGGTCACGGCACCCACGGCGAGTGCGATCTCTCTGCTCACGCGGCTGCACAGGATCCAGCTCCAAGGGCCGCTTGACATGCTTCACGATCATCGCCTTGGGCTCCTGAGCAGGAGGCCTTGCTGGTTCGGCTGGAGGCTCGGCTGCTGCAGGAGGCTCTGGAGGCTGTGCAGCAGCAGGCGCTGCAGCTAGTTCGGCTGGTGGTGGACTGTCGTCGCCGCTGATGTCGATTGGCGCTTCGGGCCACATGATCTGCGTCGCAGCACTACTGCGCAACTTCTGCAACCACCGCGTCGGCGGCACTACTGCGCCTGACGAGGCTGCCTCGCTGGTCGTCGGAGCAGCCTCCTCCTTGACGGCGCAGCCTGCAGGGGCAGCCTCCTCCGGGGCCGCACAGCTGGCAGCGGCGACCTGCTGAGGTTGCTGGTGCCACTCTGGAGGCATCTTCCGCTGGCTGTTGATCCTCTCTGGCGGATCAGCGGGAGTAGCCGCCTCAAGCTCTGGCGGCGTAGGCAATTGTTCCGTCGGAGTCGGCGCGCGCTCAGCCTGAACGCCGCTGCGGCTCTCAGGGCCCCCCTCGGGCGGCGCCGCCTCCTTTTGATCTCCAAAGAAGTGCAGCCTCAATGGGGGGTTCACATCGGCTTTCTTGTTGTACCGCATCGGCAAATCTGGATCCCTGATGATTGCGCTGAGCCGCCCATGAACATCAGCCTTTAAGGCCATAGCGTTGAACTGAAGAACGAAACAATACGGAGCCAGAAGATGTCTTGCGCCCCCCAGAGAAAAAGCAGCAACATCACGGAACATATGAAGATGTGCATCTGGACTCTCACGGCACATGTCTGAATGGGCAAACTCAAAGACGCAAGGGCCGAACCCATATATCCTTAAGACACCCCCAGATGCCTAGAGCACCAAGGAGCCCAAACCGCCAACGACTACAAAACCATAAGACACAAACACCCAAAGACTTCTAAGGCCCCTAGACCAAGCCAAGACCCCGAAGACCCCCAAACACGCAAAGAGGCCGAAGGTCCCTAGACGCTCACCCAAAGACGCCTAAAGCCCCAAACGCCCCCAAACACGCCAAAGCACTCATACTACCCACGGCATTCTACAGCCTCCTAGAGCACAACCGCTTGCTTGCATTGCCCGAGAACAACCAGAGACGCCTAAGGCCCCTAGACATCCAATGACGCCTAAAGCCCACAGGCACCAACTGACGCCTGAGACACCGCAACATGCGCGCGTGAACTTACTGCGCATGAACCAAATCGTCCTGCCCCGCGCGGGGGGCATGATGCGCATTGACAACCGATTGTGACACCAAGGGCGATGCCCTGACTATGCTACACCGATGTATGATGTCACGCCCTCGCTGCGTTGAAATTAACTGCCATGCAACTCTTTCACGCCACTGACCACCCCTTATTCAAAGGACCTCGAGCAAGTCGCTTGACCGTGCGCCAAGCGACTTGCCCTAGGTACGGACGTCAGGGCCACGTGCACACAGCCCCTACCTGATAAACCATGACCACAGACCATGCCATCCCATTTCCTGCCAACGTCTAACCGCCATGCTCTAACCGACCCACCCCCGCGCCGACCTTGCCTCAGCCAACCCTGTCCCCTTCCTACGCACCCCTCATCGCTTCGCTGCGCCCGCCCATGCCCGAGCCCGCGGCGCCCGCGCCAACCCCTGCGCGCCCCGCGGGCGCCCCAGACGCCGCCCGCTGTTCTACGCCGACCGCGGCACCAACCAGCCCGACCATTCCTCCCGCTTCGGTCGGGTCGGGCCCAATCGCGCAATCATCAAGCTCGCACGCGCGCGCAAAACTAGCGACGCGCCCATCCTCGCACCAGGCGCCCGCGTTCCACCCCTGCAAACCAGTTGTCACGCGGCGCAGACCCCTGCGTCTTGGCGCATCACGTGGGCAAACCATGCGCCTCAACCGAGACATCATCCTTTGCCCCTCGCGCGCGTGGGCGCGCCGCGCAGCGTATTCGGCTTGCGCGGGGTGCGAACGTGGCGCCAATTGGAAAGACGAGCGTTCCCTGCGCGTGCCCAACGAGCCGGCTGCCCAACGCGATTTAGAACCACGCGACAGCGCCAATGCATTGGAGCGAACCACGCAATGACTGCGGCTGCGGCGGGCAACGAGCAATGCTAGGTGGAGAGGGCACCAGCGGTACAGGGCTGAAAGGATGCAGTGTCGAAGAACAGGGAAGCCGCTTGGGCGCGGCGTCCAAAAGCATATCCTAGGAGGGCCAGCGCAGGAACGCACGTTTCAAATTCCGAAGGGTCGCCGCTCGCGACAATGGGCCCGAATCCCAAGCGATTCGCCCGCGGTTCAAGGCGCGACGTATCCTGGACGGCATGACTTCCTCGATTCTCCACACCACCGCTGCCGCAATGCGCCGCCGACCGCCGCCATCACCCTTGGCAACTCCTTTCCCGCCAACCGCAGCCCGCGCAAACTCACCTCGCAGCCCCGCAGCCTCCGCCGTGCCGCCCGCCCGACAGCCCCCCGTGACAACTTGCTCAGCCCGACCTGGTCGCAGCCACCGCGCACCCGCGCGACGCAATCCTTGCCGCGTGCCGCCCGATACCACCACCGACATTACGCATGTACCGCGGGCCTCCGCGGACCCTCCGCCGCCCCGCCACCCCGCCCACGCCGAACCTCTTCAACCGCGTAGCCCATGAGACCGCCCGCGCGACCATGCTCGCGCAACCGCCGCCGCCACCGCCACCGCCGCGCGCGCCCTCCCCCCCGCTTCGATGGCGCGCGCCGCAGCCCATTCAATTCCGATGCCATCGGCAGCCGCCGCCGCCTGTCCGCATGCCCAAAGCCCCACCCAGCCAACGTCAGCCGCCACGCACGCGCGCGCTAGCGCGCGCTACTTCGCAACAGTGATCCAACGGGTGCCCTTTCCTCGCGCCCGAGCCCAGGGCAGCCCCAGACACGCCCGACAATTGCCCCTGCACGCCAAGCGCGCGCGCCTCATCGCAGGCAGCCGCGGCAACGACGGCCAGCATGGGCGGACGGTCGCGCAAGCGGCGGTGAGGCGGGCGCGGGAG